GACCAATGCAACTGAGTATAAAACAGCAATGCAAATGAGTAAAACAGCAATGAACAGAGCAAAATGAACGATGAAAAGAGCAAATGAACAATGAAAACAGCAAACCGAGCAATGAAATGAGTAAAAGAGCAATCAAAATCAGTAAAGAGCAAATGAAATGAGTAAAAGAGCAATCAAGATGAGCAATGACAATGAACAAAATAAGTGCATGTAGTGCCTCTGATACAAAGTTTAAGATATGTCTGCTAATCACTCTTGTAGTAATTCTTAAAATTAATATTATAATTGTAAAAAATCAATGACGAAAAAAGAGAAACAAAAACAGTACTTAAACCAGTATGTGAAGCAGACTGAATTTGTTTTGTGTTCTTACTAACCTGTATGACTATTGAGTAATAATTCTCAGGTTGCATACCGGCCGGGAAATTCTGTGCATTATTCCATACCACGAAGGGTACATTTGCCCCTTTGCTACGTGTTGAAAAACCGAACTGCCGCCCATAATTTTTATATAATGATGTATTTTACATTTACTCCACAAAAAAGATCAACAGTAATGCTCTGCTCTGTTTGAATTTGTAAAAAACCGTATATATGCACAGGGTAACGGGACGTAAAACACTAGTTCAAAGGATTAAGAAATTCAGCCTGGGCCAGCCGTGTCTTCTTCCTGTATCGATCAGATCTCTGTAACCATAGTAAGCAGAAGGCCAAACTGTAAGCATGCGCCCGCCTTCTCTCGTTTAAGTCAGATCAACGCTCCCTCCGAAGTACACGCAAGCCACCACACAGCGCTGCGTACAGCCCTTTGTCCGAAAGATTATCCCCATTACCCGGCACCACTTACAGTTCAGTGTCAGAAGAATTATTCTTATCATATCCTGGCGGCACGTGCAGTCCATTGTATGTCCAGGGATTATCGCTTACTGCCTCTTGATTACTTTAGGACCTCTTGACGGGCCAATCGATGTTTTCCATGAAATCACGCAACATGACTCATCGTCTATTTTCATCATCCTATTTCATTCTGTTTTGCCGTGATTTCATAGAAAAGGTCAAACTGTACCCTATTTTCTGACCCTATGCTATTTCACAGTCATGTTCATCCCATACCAAAGGTCACACTAGACCTTTTGACCCTATGCTATTCCTATTATTATTATATATTGAATTAGATTTATATAGCGCTCATTCCATAAAATGTTCAAGAGTTCATTACAATATAAAAAATAACGAATCTACAAGGATATATAGAATAAAATAGACCAAACAAAATTACAACCGCCAAAAATGTTCTAAATTAATAAAATGCTTTCTTAAAAAAATATGAAATTTAACAATAATTTAAAAGTGATAACACTGGTAGCACACCTAATATGACATGGAAGTTTATTCCAGAGATACAGAGGGCAATATTCAAAGGCTTGGTCCCCAAGTGTAGCCTTACCCCGACCCGCAGGATAATTGAGGAAGGCACTGTCACCAGAACTACGAAGATGGTTACGGGTCCGAGACTTCACGGAAACAAGCTGAGTTAAATATTGAGGGTCTAGGTCATGTAAGACTTCGTATGTCATCAGCAAAATTTAAAATTCAAATCTATATCGAACAGGAAGCCAATGTAATTCAATGAGAAGAGGAGTGATTTGACAAAATTTCGATGTCTTATGAACGAGTCGAGCACAAGCATTCTGCATTCTCTGAAGTTGGTTAATTTGTGTGATGGGCAACCATAAAGCAAACTATTATAATAGTCAAGTCTACTTGAAATAAATGCATAAACCAATGCCTCATCAGTACATTCTTTGGAGAGATATTTCTTAACGCGCCTAATGTAATGCAAATAATATAATGCGCTACCGCAAACTTTAGTGGTGTGAGTTTTCATGGACATATTGGCATCAAACCAGGCACCTAAATTTCGAGCAACGGCAAGGGGTATAACAGCAGATTCTCCAACCTGAATACCATCCTGAGTTACCTTGGATAGTTGCTGACGAGTGCCAATAATGACAAATTCTGTTTTATTATCATTCAAAAATAGCCCACTGTTAAACATCTATTGTCGGACATCATGTATACATCTTTTACCATATTAACTCATTCCTATTCACATCCTTAAGATCATAAATATTATGCTTATGCCTACTCGTGTGATCTTTTCCTATTTCTGTAGCAAAGGTCAAATTGTGCCAGACTACCCCCCTCACTACTGGGTGTCCATTCAATTTATATAAACTCACTGATCTCTCTTGGGTCTAAGTAGAGTTGATAAAACGACAAAAAAATAAAACCAGATTTGAAATTAAACTTACTTTAACCTAAGAATTTGCGCACTTATGCAAGCATATTTTCTAAACAATTTAAAACAATCTCGTTAAAATTACCAGAGCTGATACTCTAATAAAGTTTAAAATTAAATGGAACCAGTTATAAACATTAAAAAGTAAATATGACCTGCAGCCAGAAAGAATACACCAAGTGATGTTGAAAATGGCAAAATGGGAAAAAATATTAAGCAAAGAAATAATCTTGGACCAGTTAATAATGTGTCCGGACCTGGATTTCTAGGCCGCCCCTGGTGGTGGGGTGGTAGGTCCATCCTCCAGTATTGGACGATGAGGCACCAAGAATACTCCCCAAGGATGAGTCGGACACCGGATATGCTATCAAGTATTTATTCTAAATGACTCATCAGTCTCATTTCAGCACTTGAGTTTGCACCTCAAAATAAATCCTGAATGTAAAATAATTACATAATCATTTAAACTAAAGAAATGTTGCATACAAAGTACAATTTGGTCGTACAAGAGCTACTATTCTCCAGTTACAAAAGTGGTCTGCAAAACATGTAATTGAAATATAACGTGCACTTTGATAAATTATCCCCGTGTGGTAGCTCAGACAGTGATGAGTTCGAGCTAGGTTTGCTGGTGTCGGCCTGAGCACGTAGGCAATTAAGCCCCCCCCCCAACTCTCGAGCTGCTGTCAAAACACAATACAGTACACATTCAAGAACAGGTACATAAACGACACCAATAACAATATCCATCAGCATATGTACATGCAGTTATATGGGAACGTACATTGTACAATTATTGAAAGCCCACGGTTGACATAAAAGTTTAACCCCGGAAAATGTTGTCATGCCCCACTGATGCAAAGCCCAGTCCCACGTATGCGTTGTACTGTAATAAACAGCGCGACGTTACATACCAGGTCTACCATGCACAGTATATGCAACGTGGCATGTCTTGTTTACTACGTAACGTGTGAGGCATAGAAATCTATTGTGAAGGAATCCCACGAATAGGATTAAGAAAACACTCCCCAAATTGACTTAAAATACCATAAGCCTTAAGTATAATACTAACTAATGTGCTCCTTGGCGATCAGTGGTCACGATGATACCAGTGTAGTGAGGGTACGCAACCTAGATAGGGTACCGAAAGCAAGGAATTTTGGGGCAACTTTCTTACCTGGGCGTTGCTCAGCTCGAAGTGGCGATAAAAGACCGCACCCTGAAAAGTTCGAGAACACCCAACGCCCACAGCCACAAAGCCGTGGGTAAATGTTATATATTGCTCCGCCATTCATAAAAAACGCTCAGTGTAGGCCCCTAATTACCCTCAACCACTGCATGCACTGGAATCAGAATTGATTATCAATGAAACAGTGTTTATAAAGTAGTAATTTACAACCGAGGATTAAAAAAGAAGTATCACCAAATTAAAGTAATAAAACGTGGAGTCCGAGAGACTATTTGTTGCAGTGGATGTTGAGGCTCTGTCCGCGCAAGGCATAATGTGTCCTGCGGGATACATAATTAATTAGCTCTCACCCCATCGGGGCACTGACGTAACCACAGGCCACTACGATAACAGCACTAATATGAAACCTAAAATATTTCAACTGCAGACCGATTCATCGCTCACAGGTATGTTTTTCATACTGCTTAACATTTCCAAGGATAGGCCTAGTCTTGTTTCAGAACGACGTTTAAATTGTACTTCATACGAATTTTGTGTTTCACCAACAAACTGAGTATGACACTCTTTTTCACCAGAAGCAGTCATCAGGACTAATCAGATCAAAACAATTATTTCTTCACAACACGCGTGGTTTAAGAAAGATCTTGATGTCATTGTGAGCCTTCAGTATCATCCCACCGGAGAATTGGACCGGGTGGCTGGGGTCGAGCTGAACGGTATACCTCCTCAGCAGACGAACAAGGATCACCTTCAGCTCGTTCAGGGCAAAATTCTGCCCTATACAGTTCCTGCCGGAAATTACGAACCAAAGTTCAATACTACTAGAGTCAGATGGTTAGCAGGTTCGACTCGATTTATATCTCGCCAAAATTACACTCGAGTTAAATAATACAGGAAGTGTCCTTAATACGGATTCTTGCCGTCCAACGAAATATTAGACAGTCTTCAGAAAAAAACACAAGTTCCCTTTTAGTTCTTGACACGTAACGCCAACTGTTTCTAGAATTTTGGGAAAAAATTAGTATATGTACCTCAGTGGCTTTCCTTTGCTTCAAATCTTACATTACTTTATATTTCATTAACTTCTCTGTTTACCTTGGGCCAGCAGCAAATGGAAGATAGGAGAAAGGGTCCATTTTCTGGATGTTGTCGGGAGAGAATCGATCAGGATCAAAGGTCTGTTGAAATGAGCAATGGCAACAGAAAAAGTGAAAATAACGAGATGATGAAAATGAAAAACCACCATCGCTTTCCTGAAGAGAAGGAAGCAAGTGGCAGTGGTGTATCCAGGTTGGAGGGGACTTTTGTTTGAAGAATACATCATAAGTGAGTAGGAAAGAATGTAATCTGTATGCTTATTTATCAAATTTTAGCACCAAATCCCCAAAGAAAACAACACCAGCAAATAAAAACAAGGATGTCGGGACTGCCAGAAAGGCTTTTAATTTTTTTCCTCCCTCAACATCATGTTGAATGAGCCCAAAGCCGCATTCTTTTTTGAATCCACCCCCCCGAAAGCTGGATACGCCTCTGGCAAGTGGGCCTACCACTGCACTGTTGCCAAACACGTTACTTACATTTTCAAATTCTTGACAGAGTTTCGTCTACACTGGTTAATTATAATGGTAATTCCTTCCGCATTAATTTCACATTGACACCAGAGTAATGAAAAAAATCGGTCAGCCAACTCCCCCCCCAAGACCCCCTAACACTGAAAAGTCACAAGTACAGTCAAGACAGTAACTTCCAGATTTTTACACCCCATTACAATGACTTGTGCAACATTGCGAAACAAACCTCTGTTGGCTCAAATTGGACACGAATGCTCTTGGCTCCCTTTATGAGCCTCGAGTTGGATCAAAAGAGGGCGCAATTTTGCTAGCAACGGCGGTTCTTTTGGTGAGAACGGCTACCAAGGCCGTTTTCCAATACTCGACTTGGGGTCCGTTCAGGTTCAACTGTATTTTTACTTCCTGGCTTTGAGGTTGTAAGCGCAACAGTAAGTCTGATAGTGCCACAAAACATCGAGTAAGATGCAAATTAGCAAAACAATCAGGGATTGATTTCCTACAAGAAGCCCGAGACGGAGACGAAGTTGAGTATTGGAAATCGGCCCAACAAAACTCCCCACCAACATGGCTCTTTTCAACCGACGAGGGGGTGCTCTTGCTCAAGGCGTATTACGTTTCTTTGTCTTCTCTAGAAGCTACGTGAGATAATGTAGACGCTTTGTCATTACCATATGATCCGGCCACACTTGAGGATTGTGATGAAGGCAATAGATGGCCATTAGCAAGCTGGTTCCAGCTGGGAGGATCTTGCCATCGATTTCGACGTCCCTCTCAAGAACCCTCATGATGAAAGGGACAGGTGGGTACATCCTCATCGACTCCTTAAGACACTGCACTAAGTATTTGAACTTTCCCAGATCATCCCTAAAAAGAACGGGGTAACAACAAACATGCTAAAACATTATGATCCCACGAAAACGATGCAAGCTGTTATTTATCCTGTTAAACTAACCTCAGGAAGTGTTGAAAATCACGAATACTTAACGACAACATGAAGTCAAATGCCTGGTAACCACAGAATAGCTCGTTTAGATAGACAAGTCTTTATTCAGTCATCTCTGCAGTGAGTGACTTCCGGATGATTTCAGCAATGTTAACCTTTTCTTACCAGCCAACATCTTCCGATTCCCTGCCCGACATCACTTCATCAATCTCCTCCTGGACCTTCCTCTGATGTTCGGGAAGCGTTGCCATGGCATACAACATCCATGTCAGGCTGCTGGCCGTGGTGTCGTGACCCTCGAAGAGGAAGGTGTCCACCTCGTTGCGGATCTCCATGTCCGTCAATCCTTTACCGCTTTCATCTCGAGCGGACAACAAGACGTCCAGGAAATCGAGGTACTTACGGTCCGACCCTGCATCATGACCTTGCTTATTTGTATCCTGATAGTTACGAAATATTTTCAGTTACTAAATGAACCGACACCAATTGCTTCTATTTTTGGACATGGGGAATGAGTCAAAACAGGAACTAAAAAAAAAAAGAAATTGCAGAAAATTGTCATATTTTTACGACTGTAACGTCCGTGAAACATTACCAGCTGTTTCCGACGCCGTTTTATTATCTCGTCTGCAACTTTATGAACGAAATCGCAATTCTTCTTGAACTTGCGCCCCACTGAAGATAGACCGAATGGCAAATTGAAGTAAAGAAACATCGAGCTGCCGAGAAAAAAATCAGTGAAATGAATCAACTTGTAGGCAATTGAATGGACACGAGAGACTACATGTACTTGATCAGGGCTTTACAATATTAGTCCGAATTCTACATTAAATCTTCCATTTAGTTTTTACTCACAATGTTCTCTCTGTGACAGTTTTCGATAACTCTGCCACTGCTTTCACGTAAGGATGTTCATCACTGCAAGGAAAATCAAAGTGAATGAAGGAGTACAGATCATTTGATTCACGAAGCTGCTCTGTCTTATTTTAGCGGGTAGCGGTGATAGGCTTTCGCAAATACATGCTCAGATTACACCATTCGCTGTAGTCTGTGATGCCGTAGTACGTACCCTTGGATTTGACAGCTGGAGTCATATGAGAAGGCACATCGAAGGAGGATATCTAGGGTTAGCAGGCTTACGTGCTTGGTCACCGGGAAACTAGCGCCATCCAAAACATACCTCTCCAGCCTGGTCTAGAAATGGGAGCAAAGGTCAAAACTGAGCGGTCGTCACACCCTATAAAACAATGAAATTTTGATCAGCCGAGCAGGTGTCAAAAACAGGTTTTTGTTGAATCAAAGGGAATAGAAAAGTTTTACTAAAATCCTTGAAATTGCATTTTTGTGTTTCAATTAACCTTATTTTCACTTTTTGTTAGTTACTTTTATCTGTATTTTGGGGCCTTTTGGGTTTTTCGTGCTAAAATGAATTTACCAGCAAAACTACGATGTAATCCGAGGCATTAAACATCAATGTCGCTTTGATTTATATAAAAAAAAATTGCTAGAATTTTTTTTACTTCGCTATCCAAGATTTCTATTTCCTTTGGCAATTTATTTTGTGTAAGTATATGGGGATCAGCCAGCGAGCAGCCTTTTTTCAAAATGCTTCAAAGAGCAAATATGGAGCAAAATTTGAGCATGAAAACACACACTGAACAGTGTCTTCATGGAGTTACATTACACTTACAGCGCCCTCACTTATATGGAAAAGCTTCAGCCATTTTGTAAGTTCTAAAAGTGCACTTGCAGTGCAGTTAACTCAAGAAAGATTTCAAGCTGTTTTCAAAAACTGGAGAAGAAATTAAAGGAAAAGACTGCATGCTCGCCAGATCTGAATGTTGCCGGTGAGGTGGAAGAAGACTATTGAAGAAGGAAAATGAAGGAAAGAAATGAAGAAAAATAAAGGAAAGTTAAAAATGTCGTCTATAACAAATAACAAGTCACGGAAACAAAGAAATTTATTTGGAACTGATGGTACAAATTTGAATGTAGGATTTTGGTTTAAAAGAGCTGTCAACACGAACCATAAACACATCAACGGCTGAGTTGTTGACTTGTATGTAGGGTTTGAGGACATCAAAGTGGAAGGCTGGGGTGAGGAGGCGACGAGTACGGACCCAGATATCCCCCTTAGCGAGGAGCAGTCCGTCCCCAAGCCAGGGCCGCACAAAATTGTAGGACAGAGCGCCCTGTATCAGGGGCTTCGGGTCTGGAATTACAATTGTAATTTGCACCAAAAAATAAAATAAAACACCTGCTTAACACATACTGCTTCATTTCTCAATATTTATAAGACTTGGTAATTTAAAATTAGGATTTTGAAGAAGGGACCTCTTTATCTTGCTAGCCCTAGATAATTGGAATACACTCGGCAAAAACACATGTGGAGCAAGTTTTATTGTTGATTATGCTTGTCCACGAACAAAATATATAAAAAAAAATCTCCAAAACTGAAACAGTAAAATAGAATGTTCATGACGATGAGTCCAATCGCTCTTAAGCAAAGCAAGCTTTGGTTGTCCCATCTCACCTCGTCTTTTCATCACAGGCCTAAAAATGTCCGGGTGGTTTGCAAGGATGATTCCGCTTGTCGGACCAAAAAGTAAACGGCATCCCCGCGGGAACTTCTCCGTCATTCCACGGGTGAAGGCGAAGCCCTCCTCCGGCGACTCTGACCGAATTTTCGGATTTGTCAACGGATGCTGCACAATCAGGAAATCGGAACATCATTGAGGAACATGTTTTACTGTCTCAAGATCGGTCAGATAAATGTCTGACACGCTTTTAGACTGAAATTGTGGAAAGGTCGCAAGGTTTTAACTTTTTGCTGTGATGTGGAGTTTTTCTTTAATGTTACCAAGGGTAACGTGACTTAATTGTCCCGCTTCTGACACTGACATTTGACCTGTACCATTCACTGGTACCTCAATCAAGACCGATGAAGAATCCATGGTTCAATTTTGTGGGCTTGTAACAGAATCGTGAGACTATGGGGGCTCTCCCAGTGACCCTGTCACGTAAACATTGTCACCCTCAGGCCTGAAGCCTGGCATTTTGCAGCTCTAGAAAAATCATTTCTTAACGAGCGTGGGTATAGTAGGATTGGCTGGGAAAATATGACCTACTGAGGCTAAATGAGGAATGATCCCCAAACCTTGTTTCGAGTAATCGGCGACCGAAGCTGAATATACCTAAAAAAAATCATGGCAAAATCGATTTTCTGCTCTTGTTTTTTGTTTGTTTTTTATTTCTCAGATTTTTTAGGTAGGTTAGGTTTGAAAGATTTCCTCTAGTTATGCCATTTGTGCAAGAAAATCAAACAAGGCGACAAAAAGAAGATTTCTGAAGTGAATCTGTTTCAGTCTTTTGTAAAATTTATAGTGTTTACGTTTTACGTGTTTTACCTTTTTCCCTTGCGTAGAGTTTGGTACTGTTGTAAAGGGCTTTCGGAAAATGTATTTATAGCAGTGATATCATCGATTGGACGACCCAAGCCTATTCCATATGGTGGTCATGGCGGGACATCGCCAATTGTCAATACTGATGTCAATATTCACGATCGAAATTCACGACTCGCTCTTCAGTCACAAATATTGACGTCAATATTTGCGACTCGTTGTATCTCCAGTCGCAAATATTGCCCCAAATATTTTTACCAGCAAGCCAGGTAGAGATAGAAGTTGCTCGGCTATAGACACAGCAATGATTGCCTGTTAACGCCAGTGTGCCCCCTGCATTGTGCCAAAACTACCCAGCCGAATAACAGCTTCTCAGATCAAGCCGAAAACGTAGGTCATTGCAGCCGATTAACAGCTTGTCAGATCAAGCCGAAAAACATAGGCCATCGCGCGTGCGGGCCACCATAGTTTTGGCACAACGCAGGGAGCACATTGGACCATTGTGCGTAAGCCCCGCCCACCTTCGCAACGGCATGACCAAAGATTGTACAGCGCCGCCATTAGCTCGGTCAAGCTCAGGTCAAAGTTACGTGAACGGACTTCCTCAAGAGTTGACATTTTGCCAAAGGCGGCAGTTTTCAGTTGGTTTGGAAAGGAAAAATTAAGTGCACTACGGGGGAAAGTGGGGGGATATAATTTCTTTGAGAATGGATACGTGCACAAAATCGCATTTGAAGTTTTGAAGGACAGCCAGGTGGCAGTGCAGGCGAAATGCTACAGAAGTATGTGGAAAAGCAGTGTATCGCATTCCCTGAACGCATGCTTAGAACAGAATGGTTTCACAGCAAGAGAGCAAACGCAGCTGTGTAGCTGGGTAAGGATGCTTGTATAATCCATTTACAGTCATTCCTGTTTGTTTACCTAAACACAGAATCAATGGAGTCAGATGAAAGTCAAGAGGAGGCCTTTAATACACAGACGCAACATTCAGGAATTACTATTTGAATAATAACATTTATATTTCCTATTCTTGTTTTTTCTTTAGAATAATATTCATCATTTCTTTGGGATAAATACATAAATCATGCAAATATAATGTACATCAATTTGGGTCTTCGTCTGAATACAATAAAAATTTTATTTCAATTTAACTCAATTTGTCAACTGCAGCAATGAAAGACATCCCCCTCTATTACCTGATAAAAAAATTGGCAAATTTACAGACAGCCTACTTCCCCATGTTATTTATTAAGCCTTTGCCTCCAACATTCATTCCAACCGATTATCCAACAGACTGTCAGGTACTTGCTCCCATATAATTGCCCTGATATACACCCTGAGACACAACCAACAACTTGGTCTGAAGGACGTGCCCGGCCGGAGGGGGCATTTGTCCAGTACAAACATGCCACGGCAATGGCACACACCTTGTGGATGTAAAATCCAACCACATCCTGTGACAAGCTTGATTATGGCAAAGCCCAAGAAAATCAGGAAACGGCAGCCTGTTTTCACAAAAGTGACTGAGCAAAGGTTGTGAATCATTAAAAAATTGTCTATTAACAAATCTGCTTTGTTTGCAGAATGTGAATTTGTACATTTGTATGCATCTGAATAAACTTGAACAAGCATGTACACGTAGTTGAGTACAACTGAAAAACCATACATGTACCTTTGAGGATAAGAAATATGTTACATTTGAAGAGTGATATTTTGTCAGCTTTTCTTGACAATCCATTGATTCATCCTTGTGCACGTTTGTTTTGAAGGCAGATTCAGTCCTGACCCACCAAGATAGTAAAATTTAACAAAGATTTGCTCTTGTAAAATGTTTCCCTTGTTCAGCTACGGAGACCCACATAATTTTTTCATTACTTTTGCTCATTTTGAAACAATTGACTAAAAATAGTTCTAAATTCTTCCTAATATGTTTACAGAGTATTGCTGCCTAATTTAAGACAAATAAAGCAGTTAAAAACCTTACCAAATACCCCACTGATGTATCTTCTCCAGGAAGATGCTTCAGCGACTCAAACGCCCCTTGGATAAGTTCAGAAAGGATCAAGTCTATATTATTAGGTACCTATACTGAGTTTAAAAAAGTGGGTTGCATTATCCAGTGATTAAAACTCTAAAGTGTTAAGAAACATGACTGTTTTGGAGGCTGTACATGAAATTTCAAATTTCTTCATGGTAAAATCTGGAAATTGTATGAAGCTAAATGAGAACCACCCATACTTTTATTAAGTACAAGGACAATCAATGGTGACTGGGGCACCTTTCTGTGACTTTGTCGTTTACACAAGTAAGGACATTCACATTGAAATGATTTTGCCTAAAAGACACAGATGTGGAAAGCCATGCTTAGTAAACTGGCTCTTTCTATAAACAGCATGCCACACCATTCCTGGCCAGTATTGAAAAATAAAGGGGAACTTACAAATACCACGTTTAACTTCTGAAGTGAAATTTTCATCAGGTGCATCGGCTCCTGCCTCTGCAATTTTTGTTTGCCTCTTCGGCTTTAATTCGGATGATTGGCCACTGTAAATTCAACTGGGAAAATACCTATCCATTAAATTCACATTTCCTTGACTTTTACTGCATCACATTTCAAACAATGTTTCAAAAATGCACTCATGTTTCAAACCAGTTCCCTCTTGCATGACCAAAATTTGTGGGAATGTTCACTGGTCTATTTTGTTTCTAGAAAATCACAGACCAAACTTTGAGAAAGCACTTCAGCACATTTATATTTCCAATATACAAACTTATTCTTTTCCAAGCGCTTAAAAATGTTTTGAAGTGTGTTCTGCAGCTGGCAGAGGATTTTTCATGTTTGCTACCGACGTCAATTTGGTATGAAAGTAAAGACTTTTAGACAAGTACAATTGATCAACCTATTTTCAATGTTTAGCTTCCGTTTAGGTGGAGGCCTCTTGGCTTTATAGATGTCACTGCCATCAGCCCATATTGGGTCAGGGTGTGTAACAGTTGGTTGCCCATCTTTGGAATGCTGTGAAATATATAGTAGAGGAATTTTAAATGAAAGAGGAATCTTAAGTTGGAAAATTTTCTTCTTATTTCCAACTATAGGTTTATCACATATACGGACAGAGCTTATTCGGTATTTTCTTTTGATTAAAATGAATTATGTGAATACAATGACATTAAAGTCAAGTTAATTTTCCTTTATAATCAACCACCAATAATGCTTTGGAGTTGCACCTGTATGAAGGTCTCATAGAGCCCCAATAGCCAGGGTAAGATCAAGACGGGGCCTTGAACTCGTAAATGACCTTTATTTTCTTCTAAGATGCTACAATGAGAATGTACCACAACAAAAGAAGTAACATTAGTATTGTGATTGTCCTGCAACTACATTGTCAAATATTTTATATTGCATTGAAAATGATTACAGGTTTTTGCAAAGCTGTACATAGGTATTGCATATGCTAGAAAACGGAATCTGTAGATTTATTGCTTTTCTTTGACCAGTAAACAGCAGGCTGAAAGTGTAAGTAGGCATAAGGGATGAATCTTCTTAGTTGATGAATTCTGGCCCTGGGCCCCAGAAGCGAAGAGCCTACCCGGTAATTTTTTTTTGAACGAGTACATAATTCATAAAAATTAAAATAAAAAAAATCAGAAAAGAGAAGCAATTAATTAATGTGCTTGGCGTTTGCAATTAACATTAAGCCTACCTTAGAACACACGTACTTGTCCTTGTTGATCTTGTTTACATTCAAGGGGCCGACCACACGCTTTAATCCATCTCGAACATTTTTCAAGGTTATATTTGGGCTTTGGAAAGGGGAAAAAATGCTCGTCATACAGCCGGTCCGGATACCTGGTGTCGGAATTACATGCACCGTAGCAGCATATTTTTACCATTTTATTTCCAAACGTACAAAAAGTTACATTTAACTTCCAAATCGATGGACAGCTGCGTCGGGCCCATTGATTTGTCTAGGGTTTTTGTGCGGCATGTGACTAAGTTTCTATTAGCAACTATTGCGAAATTTCCGTGGTCACCTGACCGAAAGGCGTCTCCTAATTGGTCAACGAGCACGGTTTGGTTGACATGCCGGAAGGGGCTAGAGTCTATAACCGAGCAGCTGCTCTGTGGCTTGCTGGAAGAAAAATTGCGGCAATATTTGCGACCGGAGATATGAGTCGTGAAGTTGGTCGTGAATATTGGCGTCAGTATTGACGACTGGCGATGTCTTTCCAGGGCCACCATAGTTCCAGGCCTCAAAAGGAGGTAAACAAAATATCCTCTCTTACGTTAAGAAACAGTGTCTGGTTCACGAGCTATGCCTACTTAAGCAAAAAAAAAAAGATACATGATGATTTTAATATCAAAGCGGAATGTTCTGAAATCTAGAAACGAAGTTGGGAAGTGTCAACGTCGGTCCCGCCGATGTCAAGAGAAATTCATGATCACGAACGTCTAACCATGGATTTATCCTTTTTTAAAGAAAAAAATATTAAAAAAATAAATCAATAAAACTTTCAGCAAACAATGTTTGAAGCCATTCTTTCAGTTTACTTCGTATTTCACGGTAATAGCTGCCCATTAATATACTGTTGCTGTGGTCATTTAGATCGAGCACGATTATGGAGCTCACCCAACATGCTCGTGGCTAACGTTTGCACCACTGGCGCATGCTCTTTTTTCAAAAGTAGTTTTGACCATAGCGATGTTCCCCTCGTCTTTCTTCTTCCGTCGTATTTTCGGAGGGAAGTGGGCTACAAGTATAAAACATTTCAACCAGATGGTTTCTAAACAGTGGGTTCAGTGAGTCCACATGACCCCCAGTGGTCATGACTTCAAACACATTTGACCTGCCATGGCATATTGAGGAAAGATTCCTATTCATGACCTTTTAAGATGTGTGTATTAGAGTTAAGAGAAAGGAAGGGCTTCCTTGTGATGCCGCATATATTTGTGTATATACCTAAGAAAATACATCAAACAGCTTTCTTTCCATAGAGGGATTCTGTGCAATCAACATCTGCAAGTGATACTGCTGACTTGCACGTTTTCGTACCTGGTGAAGGTTTCCATAAAGCCAGTGCACGGGGAGGCCTGGCCATTGTAGAATTGCAGCTCTCTGCTTCTGAATGGAGCGCACCGTGCTGACAAGAAGGTAGGTAACATACGCCAACGCGGCCACCAAAGCCACGCTGACTACCATCCCCAATGACATGTTCTTCAGTCTATTAAAATGAGAGAAAAAAATTGTTAAAGGAAAATTTTGACACAAGATTTGGAATCTGTATTGTGGTCAGATATCCGTCAAGGTCTGGATCTATAACTGACCCACCAAAAAACCCAATTTGTTGACTTCATAGAGTTGGTCAGCAGGACAAAATGGCTGTTCAAATTTGTGATAGGCTGAGCAGCTGGGCTTGTTCAGGAGAGTCTAACTCCCATATCGACGTTAATAGACACAGAGAGGTCATCGCAAAGCAGTCCCAAACGCCTTTTGGGACAGCACTCACTGAGACACTCAACGCCTTTTGGGACAGCACTCACTGAGACACAGTAGTCGACTGCAATGAAAATATTTATACTCGCAAGTTTTGGTGACAAAAAGTGTTCTTGCCACTACAGTACAACGATCCGACCTCAATTTGCTCGGTGGTCAAGTGGTAAAATGTTTCCAGTGGTTGGTTTGAGTCCCTTTGGAAGAAGTATTTTTTAACAAGCTTTACTGAAAAATTGTCTTCTTGACAAAATAGAAATACGCAGCAACAGACTTTCTTTGGGACATCAAAAACTAAATACTGCAACCAAATGTGGCCCGCTCTGCAAAAAAGGGTATTAAGGGACACTGTGCTATTTCATGCTGAGGCTGATTTCTTTTACTTCCTGGTTTATTGGCTTCTATTATATTAGTACTTTCACAATTCATAACAGAAACCTAACTTTTGCCATTTGTATAAAAAAAGACTTTCTTCTTGGTTGATTTTTTTCCACTTCCTGAGTTTAGGGCTTCATCTCTGAAAAGCAATTCTGTTAATATGTACGGTATGATTATGCCAAAATCAATATCTCCAGATTGCAAAATGCCACAAGGTTCAAACCTACACCGAATGAAACCGTATAATGTAACCAATTAAAATTTATAACCCATTTTGAGAAATATGTCCCATAATACTCATTTTTGTGGAGCCAGTCACAACCAGCACTTCGCCAAGTGGAATGTTTGTGATGTGTCCCGGCCACACTTACCTTGCAAAATGCCTCAGCTACAATGGTGTTGTTGCCGTCGGTTGATAACACTTAGTGATGAGTGTAAGGTCAAAAATCGCACGCTACGAGGAAACTTCCATTACTAAAAGAAACGGACCTTATGAGAGCATATGAAGCAAGGTATGAGACGGAAGGCCCCCCCGCTTGTGTTGGTCATTGTTTCACTGGAATCTGAGGAATTTTTTACCGACATCTAGGGGGATGTGTTAGGTAACAATAGTCTAGAATGTGTATAGTGATTGGACATGTTGGGGGGGGTACCCCTCGGTCTCATTTCTTGCTGGATATATATGAGAGAACACTGGCAAAATCAGTGACTCTGTAGGCTATAATCAGGGCAGGAAACAACCAAAAGTAAGGTGGCAAAGTGTACGTAGTCCTCAATTCTCTGACTGACCGACGAACTGTTCCTGATGCAGGGTTTCTATTCAGTGAAAAACGGGATGGAGTTGCATTAAGAAAACTTACAAAGGCAGACTGCAGTCGTGCATCTTCGTTTGATTCTCAGTAAAGGCCGGTTCATTCTTGAGACGAAAGCGAGAACAAACGCCAATTTTCAACGTCAGATTAAATTTTGGTCTGTGATATGAAACAAGCTCCTCCTAACATGAAATGTATAATTCGATTCTTGCTCTTCGCGACTGTTAAATGTTACAGCCACAAACAAATTTTGAAATGAAGCTTCATCTACCAAGGTTCCCAGAGCACCCAGCAGTAATAAAGAAATATACACGTGTTGGAAACGATGCCAAACGGACGGCAATACTACAAAGATCTGATGCAACCGGCAAAAACTACACACCGATACAAAATGAGTGACAACAGCCCGCCATAACTTCACAGTCTTACGGTTGCTAGCTACGGCTTGATCAACACCTTAGGTAGTCAAATTACTCCTTGTGGCCGTCACTGTGATGATTGCCAGAAGTCGCTCGTCATGTAGAAAAGCAAATTTCAGAGTATATTGTACATCCAAAGAATAAACATTGACCCATCACTCCCCCGCAGATCTGCTTATGAAGTGGAGTCCATTCCATAAATGTTCATTGAGGCTATGTATGCATTTTACATTGTTGGGCGACAAAGTAGAACATACTTCAATAGCGGTCTCAACCCTGCTCACCAGAACAGGGCGCATGCGCCTCGATACGCTCAGTAGTCGGGCATTATTGGAAGGTGAATGTGATCGCCTCGTGACGGTTCCGTTAAAAGCCCTGCAACAAAAAATGGTTTAAACTTCCTGAATGTAACATTAAACCAGGCAAAAGCTGTGCATTAAAATGCAGAAAACGTTCTAGTCTAAGGTAAAAGAACTCGGTCAGCCGAGTCGAGCCAGAGCCAATAGACCGATTGTCACGTGACCTATACAGTCGATATGACATGTCAACAAACGCGGCGTCCACCGAAAGAAAAGCGTTTTACGAGTCTAATTTACCCATTGAAAGCCGATGGTAGGTACCGTACTTAGACTAGTAGGCCTACGCGCTGGGAACAATACCGGAACTTCACAGTATTGTTTGTGAACAACATGGAAAACATGGGTTGTTATGGGGTTGACAGGTCACGGTCGTGTGATTACGTAGGCGCAATAAGCCTTCCGTGGGTTAACTTTGACTCAAATCTGGTAGACTGAGTTCCTTAAATTTACGTTAGCATAACAACTTGAATTCTCCTTACTAAAACCACTGATGCTATACCTCCTGATTCGGGGCAAGCTTTTGCTTATAGTTACACAAGAGACGCCTTGCACCAATACACTGTTAATGGATAAGAAGGGCACAAAGGAACCAGTCCATTCCAGATGGTGGTCGCTATGCGAAAGCTTGCCCCGAATCACGAGGTATAGCAACAGTGTCTTTAGCCTGGGGAATTCAAATCGTTATGTTCATGCGCAGTCAGATAACTCAGTGCGCCAGATTTTATTCAAATTCAACTCACAAATGGCTTATTTGTCTCTTCAAGAGGACCTAATTGAATCTTCGAATATTCGACTTTTGGATCGAAAATTCACTTACGGTAGTTCCCACAAAAGCAGAAACATGGAAGACGTCTGTAATTACAACAAATTTTAAACATTTTGGAAAAATTTCGGAAAGTGCGTTGTTTAATTAGTAAAATAATTCAATTGGCGTGGATTTTGAACACGACTTATAACCTGGTTTCATTTTCGCAACACGAGCATTCGATTTCGTTCTGCATCCTTCTAATACGTATTACGTTTCATTTAAGGGATTACAAATAAGTGATCAGGATTTCGATTGGACGTATTCGTAGTAGTATTACATGGAGAGTTCTGGACCACTTTCTCCTTGGGTACCTGCCCGACCCCCCAAAAAAAGTGAAAAATCTGGAAAATCCTTCTCGCGCATTCAAAAAATTTCCCCTTTCCAAAATCGAAAAGGAAGATTTATTACAAAAGTCTGTCTCATTTGTTACACTCGCCCCACCCGCTTGATGTTGTTAAAAATGAAAAATATTATGTTGACCTCTTTTAAAACTGCTACCCTCCAAACGATGACGACGAGACAAGAGTGTAGACCCAAACTTAAAAACTGTACACCGCTAAACAAAAGTAAACCGACACGTTCTAATTAAGATTGTAAGCGTTGTAAGTTGTGTAAAAATTGTGATTATTGTATCGATAGCTTTAG